ATTTACTGTTTAAAAATTACACATTGCTCATCAAAATTGAACCATAACTTTAGACTCCATAGCAACACTCCCACAGGATATCAAGTCCCCCCCCCCATCCCTCTGATTTCACATGCACATATGGGCCTGTCCATGGTGACATGCAGAGTAATATGTTTGACACACAAAATGTATTTCACAAAATTACAAACGACAAATCAACATACGAAGGCCGCAGCATTAGGCCTTAGACAGTGACTTGAAATGCCATTAGTCAAAGTCTTGTGTTCTTGCCTTTAGTAGAGGTTTACGTACATGTGAAGGGAAGTGTCAGACTCCAGACATGATATTTCATGAAACCTAGGGAAAAAGTCACTTGCTCTAGTGATCACATTTTTGTGATATATGAGAATTCATCAATTTAGTATTATGTTCATTTCATCTGTGAAGCAAAAGCCTGAAATCATTGTAAGTCATCCTGTTATTTGTAATTTAAATGTCAGGAATAAGTTTTTAGGCTTGCGTCTTCACCTAGAATGAAAATAATTTTTTTTTAAATAATGACAATAATTAGCAAAAACAATATCATACAACATTAATTAAATTAATTAAAGTGAGAAAAGCTGAAAATCTCTCGGTAAACTAATTTATGGAATACCTTGTATATTTTTGTTTTGCTTTAAAAATTCAAGCACGAAAGGGATAATTAGATAAGATTCCCCGTGTATAAGGCAATAAGGCCCTCAAATTTGCAGCGAAAAGTGTCGGACAAGGGAGATGAGTAATGGGTAATGCTGGTCGTGACGTTGGTCGAACCTAGTTTCTCATTCACTGTCCTGACTTTAAGTGACAGGGGGGCACAGTCTACAACATTTGTTTCATTGTCCGTGAAAATGGATGGAAATGTACGGCGAAGTTGCACGGCAGGAGAGAAATCAAAGTGATTCAAGAAGCGAAAGAGTTGGGCATCCGTACAATAGTTCGTAAGTTCGATATACTGCAGGTGAAAGCTGTATACGGAAGCGGATCAAGGAGAAGGCGAAATTGAGCTGGGCGCTAAAAAAAATCTCATGGGCTTCCGTGGGGAAAAAAAATAATAATTTCCAGTAATCAAGAAGGAAGTGGCCGAATACGTAAAGAGTTAGTCCGTACTTCTGCAATAAAATCCTCGATGAAGTATACCGTTTAAATATTTCGCTTCATTCTTGCATTGTTTGTCAGTTTTTGGCCTTGAAATTATGGTCTCTGTGTAAAACTAGAGATGATCGTGACGCGAATACAAGTACAATTGCAAGAGCAAACGGGATCTCTCATCAAATATTCAAAGCATCACGAGGGTGAACGGCGCGATTCATGAAGCGAGCTGAATTCTTTTCGTCGGAAAACTAAAAAATTTCCTTGAGCAACGAGTGTCTCTGGAAAAGCCTCCTCGGAGGATGAATGATTGGATTCCCTAATGAATTTTTCACGCCGCCAGACATCTCAGATCCCGATTCCGATACTGAATAAAGTCTGTGTGAATTGGCATAGCCATTCCCAGGGGAAACTGAACAAAAAATCGCAATACACATGCACATGTTGCAATGACTATTTCCTAATTACTCCTACAATATTGGTACCAGAAACCTGAAATTTTGCATGGGCACTCAGAAACGACAAATCTGGAATGTCTTTGGACCGATTTTTATTATTTTATTTTTTTATGACTGATGTAGGAAGGTAAGAGGCAACTGCCATTAAATTTTCGAATAACATGATAGGAAGGGTTCATTTTTGCATGGAAAAATTGGAAAATTCACATTTTTGCTCCCAACAATCTGTAGCTTTATGTTTTATCGAGTTTGAGGAAATTTGGTTGATTTCTTTTAGCTGTGGCTTGGGAAATGCCAGATGTACTAACATTTTAGGTTTTTTCGAGAATATCTCAGGAACCGCTGGAGCTTGATGTAAAAATTACGTTGCAAGAAGAAGTCTTACAAACTTTTCCATGGTTTTATTAAACGATTTTTACTTTCTGCATAGCATCTCAAATTTGATCTATTTGCTCATAGTCTCCTCTCAACTGTTTTATTATTGTTATTATGGTAGTTTTCCACGGCCTTTTTCGCCGGATGTGTCGGATGGAAGGAGGGCTAGACCTCAGCCCAAAGCCTTACATCCCTTTTGTCTTTCGAGAAATCGTGGGAAGAGATGAGCAGTTCCAAGGATTGCGCTTTTTTGTATGATAGTCTGGTTCAGAGATGGAGCATTTAACTTCTTCAGATGGCTCTGGAAATCCTTGAGAACCACTCCTGTTGCTCCGACGATGATGGGGACAATGCTGGTCTTGGTGTCCTATATTCGTTCTACTTCGATTCTGAGATCAGTGTACTTATCCATTTTCATCCTGGTTTTCTGTTGGAGGTTGGAATCCGTAGAGACACTGATCTCTATTAATTTGGTGGTCTTCGTTGGTTTATCGACTGCTACAATGTCAGGTTTATTGGCCCTGATCGTCTGGTCTGTCTGAATTGGAACATTCCATAGTAGTTTAACTTTCTCGTTTTCTTGAACTGTGGCTGGCTGATGGTACCAACGTTCGGTGGCAGGCAGTCCACTGTCCTTACAGAGGCACCAGTGGACGTACCTGCCCACATTGTCATGACGTTCTATGTAGGTGTTTACAGGTAGCGCTGGACACCCACTCACAATGTGGTGTTGTATCGTCTCTGGATGTTGCTGACAGGCTCGACAGGGTATCATTCACTTCCTTTCCCATGACATGACGTTCATAATACCTGGTCCTGATGGTCTGGTCTTGTACGGCAAAGATTGTTCCTTCCGTTTCCCCGTTCAGACCGGCTCTACTCAGCCATTGATAGCTGAAGTTCTTGTCTACGCATGGCTTTTCTACTACCTTTGCATGTTGACCATGCAGAGGTTCATCATGCCAATGTTGGAGGAAGATAGCTCGTTGGGTTTTCTTGACATCTTCAGGGTCGGTGGGAGAGTTGGCTTTTACGAAACGGCGGGTTTCACCTTGCATCGTTCTTAAGCGACCCTTCTCTTATTATTATTATGTATATTTTAACATATTTCCCCTGTTCTGTCTGACTACAAACGCTGTTTCCACCTCAATAAATGACCAATGAGTTATAGGTATGCTGAAAATTTTTATTATTATTATCGGAAAATAGAATTTTCCCCCCCTGGTATAAGACAGATCCCCTCGTAGACCATGATAAAATATGCATTAAAAATGCGCCTTATACACAAGTAAATATGGTACAGATACTATACTTTCTGCTTCCACCTCAGTTTTTCATATCAAGCAATGGAAAGGATGGTTCCTTTGAATTTCCAAAAGCCAAAACCATGTTTCCAAATGCAATGCAGTCCTCAGACAAAAGAGTATTTCGATTTGCCAGAACTGTATCACTTTTCTCTTTTATGGTAAATCTGACAGCATTTTTTACTTATTATATGCCAAAAATGAATTTCTAACCATTTAAAATGGCAAATTCAAAAGGTATTGCATAAGCCATTCAAGCTATTATGTCCAGTTTCAGAATCCTCATCCACATTTATGTTCCAATTAGATTTATATCTTGGCCCAAGGAATGCAATCCCTAATCCTGAGTCAGAAGAAAGTCCAGGGCAATTTGTACTGCCACCCACTACTTGTGTGATTCAACTTGTGCAGAGATTTAGATGTAGAAATCTAATTCCCAATCCAAAGGCAGATTCACTGGCTCATGTGGGTCCTTACAGTTGATGTTAAGTTAGACAAAATGACAAAAGTTTGCTAGATTCCAAATCAAATTAGTATCTTGAACAGATCTTTCATGGGAAAGCTAAATTTTGATCTTCCTGTTTTTCCCATCACTGCCAGGATCTGATTTTTTTCATCAGAGCATGACATTTATTACTAATCTTTCACTTGAGGCATTTTCATTTGAATGAACATGTTTATCTCCCTGTCCAATGTGTTTTGTAGTGGTTCTCATTTACAATTCATCCATTATCTTAAGACATGATGATTCCTGCAAGCCTGTAGAACTGGACAGATCTCATTGTGTTCTGTGTTCATACTATTTTGGGACTATGCCCCTATCAAATGGATATTGCAATTATGTAGCAATCTGTTGTATCTTTGTCAAATCATTGCAGGTTTTTGGAAAATTTGCCTGCTAAAAGTCAGTGTACCCAGGAATGTAATATAGTCTTCATCACTTGTCATTTTGACTGAAACATCCAGACAAGGGGGCAATGGATGTTCAACTGGAATGAAAAAAGATATTATTTAAGTGAAAAGCACCGTAGTGCATGGTTTAAAGTAGAAGTCCAGGACAATCTGCTGATGAAAATAGTAGAAAACAAATTATCACATATAATTAGACTATGGAGTTTTTATATGCAGGGACTGATAGTGAGTGATCACAGGGTTTCTCATGAAGTGACTGTCAACTTCCCAAACATTGTCAGGGTGATTGGTTTGGCCAATGATCAGAGGGAACTAATTGGTTGACCAAGCTCCCAGTTGAACACCTTTTTTGCATACCATAAAGAACATGTTCTCCTAAACCATTACTCCATAATCCTGGATATGATGACAAAACTACCCAGAAGGGTGTCAATGACCCACACTACTGCCACACACATGGAACATACCATTGCTGGTAACTAACGTCCTTGAGCATAAGTCTTGCACAATCGGTTTAGTCCTTGGAAGTAACTGTGCTTTGAGCCCCAAATCTGAACTTGCCCTCCTAATTCATTGTGAAATATTAGATGTATTGGCTTTTTGGAAATATTGGCTTAGTATTATTTCTGTGTATCATAAGAAATATTTTGTAAATCTAGTTTTTCTTTTCAGATGAGAATAGATGAAGCATACAGTCTCAATGACAAAGAAATCAGGCAATATGTTTGTTTGTGGATTTCTATCTTTGGGGGTTTTTAAGTGCCAGTAGTCATTGATAGAGTTATCTAGCCTCTAAGTATTCTTTAATCCTCAGACTGATGTGAAATTCTCCCAACAGATCAGAAAAAGGCTGGCTTGAGAGACTTCAAGAATGGAATCCTTTCCAGAACAAGTCCTGAAGACAGGTGACATAGTAATTCAAAGAAACCCAACTGTGGCAGTTCAAGAAGTGAGTTTTCATTCTCAAAAACCCTGCAAAAATATAATAACCAGGTATCATATTGCACCAAAAGGGAGAGATGAAAACTCCACATGTTCTGAAGAGCTATGCACCTCTGTCTTTCTATCTGATTTGTGAATAAAACTTTTTGTTCACTCATTAGCACAGAAGACAATTTTCGCATCATGTCATCTAAATACTAATGAACTACACCAAATTTTGTATCAAAACAGCTTGAGCACTTTAGTATTGTGTATGTTACTTGTATATCTTGCTCAAAGTGACAGTTTAATCTACATTTGGATATTCAATAAGTTTTTGCATGGTGCAATTTCACTCTGTGAATTATGCATCTTCATATATTTAAAATATGTTTGTCATTCTTTGTCACATTAAGTGTAATGATTCACTAAAGTGAAAGCTGAAGTTGGTTGAAAACTTAGGCAATGGTAGGTGGTGACTTGCCTATGTGGCAAATAGTTGATATATCCATTTGCTACCTGCTACAAACAAATCTTGGTCCTAGTTTTTGTGCCCACCCCTGTTGATTCTCTTTCTTTCTTGCAACAAAATCCCACAGCTTCACTCTTATTCAGATAGGCAGGTGTACATAGGTATATTAATATAGAAGCTGAAATAATGCCAAAGTTTTCTATTGAAAATCCAGAATTTCCTCACTATTTCATCCAAGTTTTGGTTCTAGCCTAATTGTAGCTTACCATGTAAATGAGAAAGCTGTATTCACAAATCAGTGCTACTCCGATGAATTTATATTAGTCTGAGTAAGGGGGTGATGGAATCATCACGTAATACCAATTACCCCATTAGGGTGCTTCTTTTTGCATAACCATTTACATGTCCCTGGAACCCTAGCAAGTTCCTATTTTAGGCATGAAAAGGATCAGGAGAGGACTGTCTATTCAGAAGTTCAAAATTTACATCTCAATAGTTTCTGTTTCTATTTGACCATTCTGAAAACTCCAGATATTTGTGGCATCAAAGAAAAGTCAGAACAGGGAGTGGTTTCACCTATTCACTATTCACCTCTGAAGTATTGAAAGATTTGAGAAGTTCTTACTTTGTGATTTCATGGTGCCTTGGGACAATGAGAGAACATCAGCAAGCATGGTTCAAAGATGCATTTGGTTATGCATCTATACCTGCTTCTCCCTCCCTCTCTGATTGTATTGAGCATCTTAGAAGTAATAGGAAAAGCAGCTTGAGGGGATATTTTGGCAGTACTTTATGACTTCTCTATCATCCTGTCCATGAGACAAGCACAAAGAAAACAGACCTTCAAAAAAATTAACTGGTGATACTAGCAAGGAGTAAAATACAAGACATCACAGGGACACGAACAATTAACTAACTGTACAATCAATCTCTCCCTCCTTTGGTATACAGTCAAGGGTGATTGACATGGCACGAATCAAGTAAGTCATAGTGCCATAACATCCACTAGGGGCACTGTCGTAGAAATGATTACAAATATAGGCTGCACCACCACATGGCTCTGTTTTCCCCTTCCCAGCACAGCATAGTGTTGCATCTCCATCGCATTTCATCTGCACAAATGGGAAAGACACAAGACTCTGTAACAAGCATTCCAGGAAAGACATCATACACCATGAAAACTCACTTGATCTTCAAGGAAGATTCTATTTGCAGCATGGACAAATTGTTCCACATTCAGAATTCCTCCTAAGTTGCGGGCAACATTGTGCTCAGCCAGAATTGTAAGGACCATGAGAGCTTCCACGATGAGTTGCCTATATTCAGGTTGTGGAATAGTGTTGAGAACTGTCTCCACATGAAGAGCAAACTTCAATTCTCCAGGTGTCATCTAAAAGTAGAGTACAATTCTCTCAATGACTTTTCAGAATTTAAAGCCACTTCTATCAGTATAATTGTTCTCTGGAGTGAAATTGGGCAATGCAGTTGTTGGAGAACCAAGCCTGAAATGTGTAAGATAACGTGTGTAATGTGTATGTTCCATATTACATCTTAATATTCATTAAGAATACTGACAGCAATTTAGGCTGTTTGACACAGGACTGACCTCTTGTGTAAGTGCTCTGGATAGGACCTTCCCCTCAATTGCCAAGCCTTGGCATTTTTCCAAGACTGACCACATCTGTTTGTAGAATCCTTGTGGTACACGATTCAGGGCACCATCAAGTCTCCTCCTTCTCAACCACTGACCTTGTCTATCACCAGCTTCCAATGAATCTGCCTCTCCCATGTCTTTGACTAGAAAGCTCCCTATCTGACTCTTCTGCAAGCAGACAAAGCAGCTGAAGGGATGTCTTTTCAGGTGGTAAGACAGCCAATCAATGAAGGAAGGAGTCCTCTTACCTTGCTCACTTTGCCAGACTTGGTACTGATCACAGACAAATTCCCACTCTTGGCTAAGGAGATAAAAGTTACCTATTTCTGTTTTGTTCTCAGAGCAACTTTAGGAAGAAATGGATAGAGATGGAAGTCCTCACCACTTTCAACCCCAAACTCCTTCCCACTCATGATGTGGTGAAGAAGATTTTTCATCTCAAATGGTGAAAGATTGAGTAGATGCTCAGTAGCCTCTTCAGCAGGACAGCGCAGAGCCCTTGAGAGTTCAGAGGCCATCACCTGAATGATGAGGCCAAGTCGAAGACGTAACACTTCAGAGAACAGAACTGGCTCTGTTCTAATGAACATGGCAAGATAAACAAGGAGTTCTTGGGTAAGCATGGCTGAGCTTTCATCATCTCCATAAGCTGCATGAATGAGCTTTCTAAGTTCAGTTGAAGGTAGAGGAGCAGTGATGGTGCGCTCATGATGAGGAGGCATTCCAACTGTCACTTGCTTCTGACGAACTAAAAGATCAGTCAGTGCTTTTGCCAGGTCTTCCACTCTTTTTCCCAGCATTCCTAATCATGTAAAAATGGGATATTTATATATGACTGCACAGATGCAATGTAATAACAGATTCAGCAAATCCCTTTTTATTTCTTTCTAGCGATGATGCTTCCAGGGAGAGGTACTAGAGATTGGCCAATCAAGGACCCCATATATGCCATCCATAAAGTGACTATCTATAGTCAACTTTTTATTATTATTGAGTCAGAAGTAACAATATATTTTTCCTGCATAGGCTGACTATCTGTAAACCCTGGAATGATCTTTCCTCCTTTCACAATGGTATGACTCAGAATTAATTTCTCTGACTATTGTTTGGTTAAGCCAAATGACATGGCATGTTCATCACTGATACACAAAATTCAAGTTCAACAGGCGTGTTCCTCAATCTTCCAGTTGTGGAACAAACAGATCTAACATTCTCTGATGATGTTATTCATTCACATTTCCCTTGGAAAAAGAAGGCCACAATAATCCTCCTCTAAGAAATCACACATGAGGCTATAATTATTGAGTGAAGAGATTCCTGAGAGCCCTGGATTTTCTTCCAATTATATTCTTACATTTTGATCATTTGCTCATCAAATAAATAGTTTCAGGAAATCATCTTCCTGGCTGCAAGGACCATCTGATAATCACTTCTCTAATAGATATCTTCCAACTACAATGCTTGTGTGGAAGCACCATGATGGTCCTCTTAGACCAAAACTATAACTAGAGATATTAACTCTCAGTCACATGAAAGCAGAAGGAAAGAAGTGACATTCTGAGGTCTGCAGTGAGTCAGTCTACACACACAGCATAAATGGTTACATCAGATTCAATACTAAAAAAGTTGCCCTGAATCCCTTCATGGAAACATAAGGAAAGCTTAGAATCTCAACCATATCTATGTAATGTCATACCCATTCTGAGCCAAAGAGTACCTCTTGGAAAGACCAGAGGAATGCAAGAGACACAACCATAGGACAACCTGTACAAGGGAGAGCCTAGAGCGTGTGACGTGCAAATGAAGATGAAGTGGGTCAGGCATGGGAAAAGCACTAAATCTACAATGGTAAGATAAAGGATAATGGATGAGAATGAACTAGAAAATGGGAATGAAGTGCCTTTAGAGGCAATGCAGATTTAGAATTAGCAAAGTTCAGTAGTGTGTCTCCTTTGAATGCACTGTCATTGATGGTGCAGGTGAAATAATGGGAGATATGACATAGACATAAAGCATGTCTGAACATGATTAGCATTCACTTGCCAAACTTTGAGTGCTGTGCATGTGCCACATCAGGAATATGCCTCATTAGGTTTTCTCTATGCCATATGTAAAGTTCATATTTCCATAGATGAAAAATGGGCTGATTCCACAGTGCATGTCATTCCATCTCTGAAAAACATCAGATGTGCTAAGACTAATGCAGCAACAAATAGATGGGGTGATGAAAATGCTTTAAGAAAGTGTAACATTTGAGTGCCTTTGAACATGAAACTTTTGGAGGACAAGAGAGATGTCGGCATGCTTGATGCATACAAGAATACAAGAAACATGATCACCACAATGTCTGGATGCATTTGGTTGTGACTTGAGTCATGACTCAAGGTTCATGGTGTGAGGTTTTGGTAGAGGAGTCAAAGGCCATTTTTAACCATATTGACACCCTGAGGTCATCAATATAGGCAAAAATGGCTCTTGATATGCATCATGGTGCATGGTTTGGGGAGCCCCACAGAGCTGCCCAAACTGAGAATAATAAGTCATGACACAGAACACTACCAAATGTGCTGAGTTAAGATGCATTCTTCCCTAGCTCAACCCTAGAAGGGGCTTGGGTAGAAAAGTAAGTTTTCCAGGTACATAATCATTAGTGAATGGTTGGTCCCTGGAATCACCTCTCTATGGAGGCATCACCATTAGATTGCAAGGAATTCAGAATGATAAAAGCTGTGTTGTTCACCTGCTGTATGACGAACAAGTCCCCACTGGTTCTGATGACAGGCTTTTTCATAGAGGTCTTTGACCAAATCTTTCACTGTCACAGCTTTTCCATGCTCCTTCACCCCTTTGAAAAATAAATGGACATTCCATGATCACTTCACATTCAGACTTTCAGAATGCTATTGAAAAAAGACAAATTATTCATAGCTGAATATGAATTGGTTCCTGGACAGAATGTACCTTATAAAAAATATAAATAAATAAATAAATTATTTTCTGCATTCAAAATTATATTAATAATAGGGGTAAGGATGCTGACCAGTATCATATGACAGTCCCACTGTGATGACAAGATAATGCAGAATATCCCCTTGCTCTTCTAGACTTTCTGACTCCTTGAGCATCAGCAGAAGCTCCTCAATTTCCGTATTCTCATAATGGGCATCAGACACCGTCCTGATAATAAGATACAATGTTTTAAAAGGAGGATTTTCCAGGTGGGAGTTTCTCATTTCTTTCACTTCTATATGGTATGAAAGTTGGTTTTAGTTCAAGCGTCTGACACAGCCCTGCATGATTTCTGGGCAAATAAGTTTCCATTTCTGAAGAAAGTATATATTTGTATATGTGAAGCATCTGTTTCTTTTAAAATGTCACTGTCTTTGATAGTCATCACCATTAGACCAAGAGCCCAATGCTCATTAATCATACAGGATGTCCAGGCTATCTGTCAACCCCTTTCCTGGAGGAAGAAATGAAAACAATGTCTACCTTGCATCTCTCTAATGGCAAACTTATGGTCGATTAGGATAACAGCTCAGAGTACAAGAGATCTCCTGGGGCAATTCCTTCATTCTCATCTCTAACTACATGTCTGCTATCACATCGATGAAAGTTGCACAAACTGTAACATTTTTGGTGCTTGGTTTTTGATTGAATACACTATGATTACATATACTAACTGGACAGGATCATGACATTTTCTACACTCCCTTTGGAGTCAGGGAATATATTGCTAAATGTTTTGTACAATACTTTTTTTTCCTGGATCTCTCTGGAGTGTTCCAGTCCCTCAGTGTATTCTGGTTGCAATTGAAACTGCAATACGAAGAAATTTAGTGATATTGATGATTTTGGTACAGGGTGGTCCACGAATTGTGCAACAATGAGCAATGCTTTGCTAAGTAATAGGGAGTTTGTTTACAGAAATGATGGTCATCTTAATGAAATAAATTTCCACAAGTAAAAAAGGCATATTTGCATTAAATGAAAGGTAAAAATGAAATTCAAAACTCTATTCTTCAAGTTAGTTTAAAATTAATTTTTTTGCAAATATAGTGTAACTTCAATTATCATCAAATAAAATTGCTGCACAATTTGTGGACCACCCTGAACATGAGTTCCTAACAGTGAGTCATGAATTAAAGTTTCAAGGTTGAAAGATGAATATTCATTGAGAAAACTCACCATATACCCTCATGGAAAGGGCCGGTGGATGGTCCTTCTAATTGCTTTAAAGAAGCATCCAGGTGGAGCTTATTACTGAAATTTGGAATAGAAACTCCTCATGGTATCTAAAACTATCAAAGAAAGTTTCAAGGACAGAGGATGAGGCAATACAGAATAAACTTGCTGAAAACCAAAGAATTGAGGAAGATGATGGCTTAACTGAATAAATCTTTTTCCTCTTCTTCTTCCATTAAGTCAATTTGCTGTACTTGAGTTTAGGTGTTTGATTGTGAAGCCATGCTGAGACTGTCTACTAATGCAATTTTGCCAACTGTTACAAGTGTTTCATTAATGCCAGCTTATTGGGATCCATCCATCAATCTGAAGAATTATCATAATGATACTAGATTTATTTGGATCATGCATCATCCCTGTTGGGGATGCCTAACATGCATCAGACTGAAGCATCAAGGAGAATACAGAAGAGGATGGCTTTGCTGATAATGCCAATATCCTCTTCTTACCTTGAGCCATTGTTGAATGTTTAATTTCACCATATTGTGATATGCTTGATCAGTTAGTGGATTATGGAAGCAGGTCATGGCATGCATCAGGGTACACATTCCTCTGGCATGGATGTGACAATTGGGGATCAACCATGAACAAGTTGCATCCCCAAGTACCCTTAGAGAGATGTAAGGATAGTGCTAAGCCTCACTACCATCCATGGTAGCTCACATTCAGAACAATGATATGCACCCAACTCAAGAATGGGTTAGTGATATTAATGAAAGTTGATGAAATTTGGTACATGAATCCAAGTAGTATGCCATGAAATCAAAGAAAGTTTCAAGGGTACAGAATGATTCTCCACATTCATAGCTTGCCAAAGACTCTAATATTAATGGGGGTGGGATCCTACTAATTGCCCAAAATAAACACTCTGAGTGAACTTATGAGTGAACTGTGGATCAGGAAACGTTTAGAAGACTCTAGTTAAGTTTTAAGGTCACAGATGATGCTATGAAAAATTGCAGAATGCCTTAGAAATGGGGAAAGGGAGGCTTAACTGATAAGGGTTTCCTTTTACTCTTTCCTCATGCCCAACAGCCAAATTTACATTGTTGACAGTGCAGTTATGATGCCATGCTAATATGACACTGAAGAAGATGATGAGGATGGGTCTTAGCATGCACTAGGGTTGCACACTGTCTTGGTTCTGAATGTTACCACTATGCAGCACTGGTGAAACCAGTTTCAGAATGAGGGCAACTATGAACAGTAGCAAGGCTTGGCACTATCCTTGCATCTTGATGGCTAGAAATGACAAATACTTGAGATTGCAATCTGATGCATTCTATGACCTGCCAATGCATGCACCCCTACTTAGGATGATGCATGTATAACAGTTAGCCAACATCAATTAAATGTTCAAACAATTTGACAAAACTGAGTTTGGAAGACATAGTCTTGTCATGATTTCACCATCAAATGCATAGAAAAGGCAAAGTGGTTTGAGAGAGGAAAAGCTTGAGGGCATTTTTTGTGAAGATACATTCAACAAGGTAACAATGCAATTGGGCTTGTGGGAAGAATAAAAGGAAACTATTAGTGAAGCTTCCTTTTCTCCATTCCTCTCCCTTAGGTATTGGCAAGTTTCCTCTGTATTGCCTCATCCTATGATCTTGAAACATTGATATTTTTAGACACCATGAGGAGTTTCCATTCCTCATTTCATAAATATATTCCTCTTGGGTGTTTCTTCGAGGCAATGAGTAGGACCTCCTCCTGCCCTGAGCATCATTTCTGTGAAGAACCATTCTATACCCTTGAAATTCTGATCAATTTCATGACATGCTATTGATAATTCATATACTGTTTTATCAATATTTCTTAACTTCTTGGTGTTGCCATTTCAATTGCAGCCACTGCAGATAAAGGAATGGTGATCCTGCTACAATTATGTTCCTTTCTAATGAGCAAGCCATCAAGCATTGTAACTTGACAAAGACATTTGATTGTTACCAAGTTTACCAAAACACCATTTTTCCAGAGCATGGGCTGAAAATAATTGTGAGAGCAGCTGTTAAAGCAGAAAGTCATTTGAACAGTGTTTCTCAACCAGGAGTCCTCCTACTTGTAAGAGTCTGCAGACCACAGAGGGTCTGTGAACACATAAAAAAAAGACATTGTGAGCTTGGAAGGAAATACAGTGGTACCTCGCATAATGAACGCAATTCGTTCCAGCGGTGCGTTCGTTATGCGAGGTGTTCGCGAGTGAAAGTGAAACATTTTTTCCTAATTTCCTTGATTTTTCGCGGCGACGTGGAACTGGCCTACCCTAAAATTAAGGAACGCTCGACCTCGACACATGATATCGAAATGGGCGAAATCGCCTCTTGATATCACTAACTCTCTTGACTCTTGAATAAAACTGATTAAAAAAAAAGCTATTTTGGAGGGTATCAATTGATAAGTTTGATAGGTTGGCCATATGCAGGAACATTTTATACCATTTATGTATTAAACATTTTATAAACATTTTAAAAGGTATAAAAATCGTTTCAATCTATTATGTTCCAGAGCTTATTTATTCTGCTTATAATGAGTTACCAGGGTGGATTGCAGTGCATTTTGCTAACCCGATAAATTCTGTGAACCGTCGTAACTTGTGCCGAGCGCAGTTACTCTGGAATAGATTAAATCCTGTAGTTATTTGTATCAAGCCACGGCAATCGGAATTCAATCACTATTCTGGTAAACGGGGTCAGATTAATACCATTAAAAATCATCACACAGCACTCTGATCAGTCATGTGAGCAGATACACATACAGTGGTACCTCGCATAACGAACGCAATTCGTTCCAGCGGTGCGTTCGTTATGCGAGGTGTTCGCGAGTGAAAGTGAAACATTTTTTCCTAATTTCCTTGATTTTTCGCGGCGACGTGGAACGGTGCAATTCGTTCCAGCGGTGCGTTCGTTATGCGAGGTGTTCGCGAGTGAAAGTGAAACATTTTTTCCTAATTTCCTTGATTTTTCGCGGCGACGTGGAACAGATTACATGATTTCCCATAGACGTCTATGGGAAATCGTGTTTCGCATAACGAACACCTCGCATAACGAATGCACCGCTGGAACGAATTGCATTCGTTATGCGAGGTACCACTGTAATGACCTCTGAAATCTATGATGACGTCAAGTACAAGATATTGTAGTATAACGACATACATTAATCAGTTAACCAAGCCCAAAGAAATGCGATTTGATGAGCTACTGGCTGCAATGAAGGCCTAGAAGCAGTGAAGCACAATCTTCTGTGCATTCATCCTGGGCCTACCAGGCTTAAGATGAAGACCACAAAAAATAAAACCTAGCTTACAATGCAACAGCAACTAGGTGTGAAACAAAATTGGGAGATAAAACTTCAGATGCAATCCAAGATCTGGATCATCCAATCAGGGAAGAGATATCTAAATTTAAATTTAAATTACTCCTTTTACATTCCTATACTACAATGGTGTTCCCTCAATGGTATTCTCTTTCTTTTCTTATGGTTTTCATAGTTATTGGGTATCAGCCCTCAATGGTATTCTCTTTCTTTTCTTATGGTTTTCATAGTTATTGGGTATCAGCAGTGGCAAAAACAAACAGGAGGGAGATGTCAAAGAGTTTGAATCTCCCAAAAAGCCTGAAGAACCCTCCCCCCCCTGCTACAAGGACATAAATGGGGCAGAGGTGGGGGGTGAGTCCCTTATTACATTACTGCAGCAGACATAGTTCTACATCTAGTAAAGATTGAGCTTAGGAATCACCCACACCCCCTTGCAGCCCCAGGTCTCTTATTTTAATGGCAGTGGACAGGTAGCAATATAGGTGAATCACCTTCCCTCTCCAAAACTCAAATCAAGTTACACCACTGCATATTAGCACTTCACAACTTTATACAATTGAGAAGAGATTCACACAGGCCTCCACTGATCCTAAAGGGGCCTGCAGGGGAAAAATGATTGAGAAACACTGCTTTAGAAGGGGAGGGAGATATGATGAGAGTTGGGTATGGGAAAGAAAAACATGAATTTGTAGCAAAGTAATCACCTATACCTACAGTAGGAATCAGGAAGACACCATACAATTGGAAAGCACTTACAGAACTATGTGAGGGCAGCAAAATTTTATGACAGGTTTATATTTCCAATGGCTTTCAGAAAGTAAAACAGAGAGTAAGTAGTTTGTTAACTTTCAAGTAAGCAAATACATCACACAGAGGGAGATACAAGAAAAAAGGAGAAGTAGAAACAGGCAAAACAAAGACAAGCATGAAAAAATCACGCATGACCATAAAGGGCCACGGACAAGGTTGATAAGTCAAGTCTCACCCACCCTTGTAGCCCTAACTGCCAATTCAGTAGCCGCCTGCAATGATAACAAATTCAAATCTAAAATTCTTGTTTCTCTTCTCTACTGGGAATATGTGTGGAGTCGTTTTTAATGACTGAACAAGAAGACATAGAACACACCAGCAATAGTACAGTGAACAGTGTTGGGAAAGAATAGAGAGAACAGGGTGGCAAATCTCACCTGTATCTGGATGGCATCCATGCATCAGGTAGACTGGATTCTTCATCACCAGAGGAATCATCATGAAGCGTTCCAGAATTTGGCAATGTAATGGTAACTCCTAATTCAGGTGGCTTCAGATCCAAAGGAGATTGTGGGAGGGATACTTCAGCCCCTGTCACTAGATCTTCAAAGAAGTTATATGCAGAGCATGGCAATACTGTATTTTCATGAATGTCATATTTCTCATGTTCTCATTGAAATAAGGGAAAAGGTACAGTTAACAAGATATGCTGAAATGCATCCTTGGTGCTAATGTCTATCACCATACCTAAAGTTGTGATTCAAAAGTCTCCCACAAGGTTCCTTCCTCTAATATAACATTCTATACCAGTATTCAGGGTGTCAGACAATGATTGCTATGCACTTTACACACAAATCCAAGAAGCTCAAGATAAATTGTGACACATCAATTAAGTTTATTTTAATAAAATTTTTCTCTGCTTGCTTCAAATAAAATGGTTAGTTTGAATAGTGACTGAAATTTTTAGTTTGTGCACCATGTGGCAGTGGCATTCTGCATAGCTAGAGATACAGGGGCAAACTTCCTCACAAGAATCTGGATTGCTCAAGAAGTTTGTCACAGTAAATCTAGGGTTACTTGCAACCAAAACCAAAACTTGAAAGCTTGTTTGGATCCATTCCAATTTAAAAAAAAAAAACCCAAGATTCACTACCATGGACCTTTCAAGCAATTCAGATGCATGTGATGAAGGTTGCCCTGTGTCTCTATGTGGAATACCATTGCCATTTCTCACTGCAATAAACTGAACACTTCAGTAATGAATCAAATTAACAATTTTATCTGAAACAAGCAGAGAACATTTTTATTAAAATAGGTTTCATTCAATAATAGTTTATTGAGCTTTTCAGACTTGTTGCTGATATGGGTGGCAATAGTTGTGCAACACCCTCTATTATTATAGCTTGGTTCATTAACCCAGCAACTGCTGTTTTTTTTTTCAGGCTTGGGGATCAAAGTTAGAAAGAAGCATACTCGGGCTTGGCAGTCAAAGGGTTAAGAGAGAAGACAGGGATAATATTGAATATTGTAACATGCAAGCATCTCTGCTACCTTTATTCTGACATGGACTCACCATCACCATATGAGGCAGCTATTTAAAGTAAAAAAAAATGTTTCCATGAACTAGCCCATACAAGAGGACTCACTGAAAAGAAATGCATAGTCCTTTTCATACCTCTCTTCAATTCAGGATCAATCTGAATGCTCCTTGTGCGACGGATGGAGCCTTTGATGGACATCCTCCTCTTGCTGCGAGGCCTGGAACTCTGCTTATTTCCCATTAGTGCCATATATGATCTCTTGTGTCGATAAGAAGAGAATGCTTTGTGTGTCACATGCTCCAGATAATCCCTCACATCAGAGAGTAGCACTGTCACACAAGGACAATCTAAAGATAGTTGAATTATGTAACTTGAATTTGCATATTCTTATGGACAAGTCTTACCATCAGGATTTCCTGCCTCACTGTCTCCCAGGAAACTCAGGTCAGTTATACAGGAAGTGCTCAGAAATTCGGCCATGGTTCCAAGAGTCACCCTGCACATGCCAATATGGTCTACTGTAGCAAACAAAGTAAAGCCCCTACAATGTTTAAACTAAGAGAAGAAGAAAAAAAGATCCTCACCTAGTGCCATTGATGTAGCCACTGTTGAGTTTTTTCAGGGTCGCAATCATTGCAGAGGGAATTTTCCCATCATCTGGAAAAACACCAGGACAAAACATACTAATATCATGCTAAGTGCTACTATGTAAGTGCCAAAGGCTTGTAGTGTAGAAATATTTGCATGCCATTTTCTACCATTTAACACAAAACTGATTCTATTGGCTAAAGTCAGACTTCAACCTTCAAGTGGACATATAATTTAGCAGTAACACATCAAGGGGTTGAAAATTTAATTCTATATATGTTATAAAACTCATTGACTGAAGTTGAAGCAATGGGGCAATTTAGAGTTGATATAAACAGGTCAAATAGATGTAATTTTCTTCTTAGTCACACTGACTGAAGACTAGACCTAGGTACTCATGCAAAATGTGTAGAAAGTTATTGACACTGAAAAGAAGCAGTATACAAACATCGAGCAAAACAAAAACATGCAAATGCAAAAGCAATCATGTTCCAATAGTATGTGATAAGGAAAATTTTCAAAAGTACCAGTGATGCCAGCTCTTAGAAGTTAAAACCCATTTATATTATATACTGACTGATAAGATGTTGAAAAAACAGTGATTACAAGACAATTAGGCTGCAACCCTTTGATTTCATGAATAGTGGGGGCCAAAATAAAAGGACCCCCAACTTCAAGATGCTGTGGCTCAGGCTAATCCCTTGGGTTAAGTATTATCTGACACTCTTATCATTTCACCAACTCTAAAGAGTGATGAAACAATCTCTTATGATTCAACTCACCAAGAATCATGTGCAAAATGGTGGTGCACAGTAGGAAAACAGCTGTAATGCTCCTTTGGTAATGTCTCTCATCCTTGATTGGAAATTGTTAGACTTCAGTTCAAACCTGTTTTTCATTTCTAAATTTTGGCTTTGGAACAATGCCTAGCTACTCAAAAGAGGATCAGAGTGTCATCAAGATGCTGAGGCTGGAAGAGCATTGGGGAGCAAAGAGACTACTGTAAGAATTTCTCCAGGAGAGATGGTCTTTAGGTAGATCGTCAAAAAAGAGGACGAAACTGGATCTGTGATCAGAAGGCAGGCAGTGGAAGACCAAGAACACAGAGGGTCAAAGAGAACATTCAGGAAGTCCAAGAGAGAGCTCTGAGCTAAGGACAGCTGGCACACATCAGTTGCAGAGAGAAATCACTAGGGAAACTGGAATTCCTCAAATAAGTGTCCAAAGAATAATATAGAGGGACTTGAAATTGACTGTTTTCATGCACTTCATGACACAAAGCTTGAATAACTGCAACAAAGAGAAGCAGCTGACTTCATATCTGATTAAATTGCAAAAAGATGTTCACTGTGATGACACCCATCAACACCCAAAATCACAATGTTTATGGATGTGGCAAACACTAAGAAGAGGGAAGTGAGCCCAGAGGGGCTCTGGGTCGGTCAGAAGCATTTCTCAGACAAGGTCATGATGTCTATGGCATTCTCTGCAATGGGCTGAACAGAGGTTGTCTTTATTGATTGTGGAGCCAAGATCAACAGGAAGTGCTATCAGAACACCATTGACAAAGACAACTTTCTACTCCAAATGACAGCAGTGTGTAGAAACAACTTCATGCTGCAACAGGACGATGCACCATCCAAAATTTCACTGTTCAGGGTCACACTTCTTGATGAGAATATCTTCTGCATTTTTGAACCAATTTGTGGCACCCCAAGTCTGACCTCAATTCTGAAGTTTAATTTGTTTTGGGTGAGATGCTGGAGAAAGGGTGTCACAAGCATATTCAAGCTGTTGAGAATATGCAAGCTGAGAATGAAAAGGTGTAGACTGAACTTCCTCAGAGAATGTTGCAGAGAACAAGTGGGAAGCAGTTGTCAAGACTGGCTACTCTGGTAGACCAGGGGCAAGGAGTCATTGAAAATGTGCTCTGATTCATTGTAAATGAGTCAACATATTTTTCCATTATTTTCCTTGGAGCTTTCTGGAAGAAACTAGAACTTTGTGAAAAACATACGTTAGAACTGAGGTCTAAAAACTTTCAATCAAGGATGAAAGACATCACTAAGGGAGCATTGCAGCTGTTTTCCTGCTATGCACTGCCATTTCACCTATGACTTTCTTGGTGAGTTGAATCATAAGGGGCCATTTTGTCATTCCTTAGATTTGGTAAAATGATGTATCAAACAGTATTTAATACAAGGGATTGTAGCCTGAGCCACTGCATCTTGAAGTACAGTCGACACTCAGTATAATGTGCTCAAGGGACAAGCTAAAAAATGTGCTATAAGAAAAATTAATAACAGAGGTTCGTTATATCAAGTGTCGACTGTAAATGGTACTTTTTTTTTTGGAGCACCCTGTATACAACTCATGAATGCCACAAAAATATCCAAAGAAATCTGCATTATGAGAAAAAGGGGAACTGTCTTTTCCCACATACCAAGCATGTTACTGAAGATGACAGCTGTGACAGTAGGCCGGCCTAGTAGGTGTGAGAAGCTCCAGTGTTTGCTAAGGAACTCTATGTCATTGCGGAACATGAATGTCAGCAGGGGAGGGTCATTCACATAGTAAAAATCCTCCACATCAAACAGCTACAGTGAGGAGACAAGACAACAAACACCAATGTGGTTTGATTGATGCAATAAATAGTAAAAGCAGTCTAAAAGAGGATCATGTATTCAGTGAAATGAGGGAAGAGCTGGACTATGCAGTCTCTGGTGGTTGCACTAGTCTCATCCTAACAGCACATGGAAGATAGGCTTGTGAACTAGATAGCAAGCAGACTGGGATCAGGAAGGATGCAAGGGATGCAAGCAGAATGTAAAGAAGGAATCATCATAGGGTATGTGAGGGTAAGGAAAGGCGGGACAGACCTAATTGGGCGGAGCGGAATACCATAATCACAAGGGGTCGACCCAGCTGGTGCTGCCATGCTGACTGTAGGAAATTCATTTCGTTCTTGAAGATATCGATCAGGAGATCGAAATCTGATGCAATGTAAAATTGATGCTGATCCATGAACTGGAACAGGGAAATAGATTTTCATTGACCTCTGGCTTCTGTCCATCATTGATAGCTTTCCTGCAGTATACTTCAAACATAATTATTTTAGAGATATACTTCTGCTATTTATACCTTCTCAAGCTTGCACAGTTGCTTCTTTTACCTTGAAAATTCATTATCACAAGACAAGATGATGGCAAATTTCATATCCATGAAAACCTATATGAAGATGGCTTTCCAATGTGATGCAGTTGCCATCATCACCCCACTGAAAACAAGAATTAACAAGAAAAGATAAGTATATATTGTTTGAGAAGGCACACAATATTATGCTATCATCCTCAAACCATTAGTGGTCAAAAAGGTAACAAGGCTTTGTATCAAATGAGCCTAAGCTTTTACTGCCAACTTAATTTTCAATTCAGACAGAGATCATTCTGGCTCATAAGAAATGAGCTGGGATAGGCTTTCATGTCCACAATAGGGTTAACGTCTGTGACAGGCTGTAACTGCCACTGTGGCACTACTGGAATCTGGAACTTGGAGCCAGAACTCATGGAAGGGGCTAGTAAATGTCAACTAGATATAGTCAGCCAAGACAAAAGGCAGAGGTTTCATCGCTCTAGATCAGGGGTTCCAAAGTGCAGCTTGCGGGCTGCATGGAGCACACAAAGTACCTCAGTGAACATCCACTTTGTGCACTCCTACTCTAGATCATGAATGGATCCTCCACTAGAGTGGAATAGATCCAACAATGTTTGCTCAGGCAGGAGAGGGGACACTCATTAGCCTCCAGCTGGCAGACAGCATGATCCAATGGAAACCAATCAATGAGCTAGTCACTCTGATCCACCTTAGATTAAAATGAATCAGGGTCCAGTCTGCCATTTAGGTCTATGCACCAAACAATGAGTCAGACTACTTCCCTGAAGAGGTGGATGGGACCTTAGAAGGACTCCTGATTAGTAACCTCATGTTACTGATAGGGGACTTTGATGTATAAGTTGGGAACAATTAACACTTTTGTGCCCAGTGATTTTTGCTCCTGTGGTCTCTGAATCCCAGGCATTTTCTGTACTTTATCAAGAAATTTGGTAAAAATCACTGTACTATACTAGACATATTACTTCATTTCTCCCTTAAAGGTATCAGATTCAAATATTTTTTCAAGCAATAACAACTTGCTTTGCTCTCTTTACAAGGGCTCTTATCTCATTTCAATGTCCAACTTCTTTTGAATAATGGGTATTTGGTAATTGCCCAATGAATTTAAATTAAAATTTGAATATTTAGAGAAAACACCCATCCATGCATTGTGAAGGTGTCATGAAATGGTTCCAGTGGAAGCAGAGGTAGGAATTTATGATTAAAAGTCACTTTTTATTTTATTTTTCTACCATACCTTGCAAATTGACTCTGCCAATATTTATATTCCTTTCAGCAGACAGTGTGGACATGAGGAAAGCAAAACATATCAAGAGAAGGTATTTCCAAGGGAAAAAAAAAGAGGAGTATCACAAGTACGATCCAAAAAGTGGTGCTACAATAAACTGATTTTGCTAATAGCTTTTGGCAATTACAAGGGGCAGTCAAATGAAAAAAAAGGACATTCTCAGTTGTGTGATTCACTCCATGTTGTGTTTTCATTTGACTGCCCCTTGTAAAGCTCTGCTTGGAAATAGCAGGCTATGCTTAGCATTAAAATTTCAACGTGAAGTCTAGAAGTCCCAGTTCTCAGCATTCGTGAAACATTTAATGGTCTTAAACCAATTCAGGTAAAGAAATTAAGCTTTTCATGAAGAGGCTGGAAACTTGGCAGCATGGATTTCCTTCATGATGATCAAGAAGCTCCTGAAGATCTAGAAAACAGTACCACAGGATAAAAGAAATTTTCATGAAGGAAGCATATGGGAGGGCGCCATGTTCAAAACAAAACTGCATCCTTCTTGGCGAGGTGATGAGGAGGTAGAATGTTACAATTACCCCAATTAACCCAAATTCTTCTTAACCCAAAATCCTAGACTCACTTTTCAGAATCCAACCTACAATCGTCAAAGAACATCATCAGAACTATTTTGTGATATAATGCAACATGGTCTTTGACATGATGAGTAATAGAAGGTTTAGTCTCAATGAACTCATGTAGCAATATAGCTTTTCTCACTTATAAGTATTTATAGTGGGCTCACTCTGTGAGCCCACAAGCAATTATACAACTCTGCCAGGTCATATTACTAATGTTGACTTTATGATTGATTTTGCACCAGCCATCAGCAGATTGTATTGCAGATACTCAGGTAGCATGGATGGATGGATAAAGTGGATAAAGCTGAATGCATAAAATATAAAAATTAATATAATACCATTTATTGATGTGACTTAACACTTTAACTGTTTTTTCTTAAACTGTCAGAAACTTCTACCAACTGCAAAGCAAAATGCATGGACTAGCAGCAGAGAAAATGAATAAGAATGCACATTTTCTCCTGCTTTTCATATCTTTTGACTAGCTTTGCTATGATTTGAGTATCAAAATGCCTCTGACAAGACCAACTGGAAAAGATAAAAGATCAACTGTCAGCACACTTAAAAGTGAAAGCAGGAATGTCTGTATAGTTGACTCTCATTGTATGCGGGAGTTACATTCCTGAACGCACAAGATTTAGACCTTTCAAGATTAAATTATTTCATGCTTGATTTAATTAATATTTAAAGGTCAAAATCTCGTGCATTCGGGAACACAACCACTATTATTACATGTTATAAGTTTCCCATTTTACGTGGATTCGATATATGCAGCAATTTTCAGGAACACAACCCCAGTGTATAACCAGACTCAACTGTACTCTAATGTGGAAATGAAATCTATCTCACAACCCACTAAATTTCCCTCTGTTCCTCACAAGCAAATTATTTTGCCATGAGAAAGATGGTATCATTTCCAGCAGCATAATTTGCAAGTCAAAATCTGTGTCAAGTTGCCCCACCATGCAAAGTCATCCTACTTTATAGTTCCCAGACTATATAGAAGAGTTATGTATTTTAAAGTACTGTGCTGCATGTTGCAAATCATATGTTAATCCTGCTCTGCTAATTTAATCAGGATCAATAACACCAGACAATACATCAGCCTAGAAATAACAGTTTGGGGAAGATCATATTACAAATGGTTATCTTTATTATAGAGCAGTTGAGCCAGAGACAGGAAAAATGATCAAAGTCCATTTGAGATTTAGAGATTCCAATTGTTTCTCCTCCCAAGGGTTCAATCACATAGTACACTTTTTGGATTATTCTTGGAGGTATAGTCTTTTTTTAATTAAAGCAAAAAATCATGTAAATTGGTAAAAATACATTGAACATTTTCCCCATATCCATCAATAAGAACTAGAAACACTGAAGCCTGTTATTAAGATTAACCTTTGGGTATTATTCAGAATTGGGATAAGGTCAAATGGCTGGCCAACCCTTGAGATTTAAAGTGGCAAGACTCTTACACTGGGATGTAAATAATCTAATAATAACACCTTAGAGTAAACTGTAGCTTACCCAAAGTATTGTACTATAAGACAGAAGACCCACCTGAGGAGTGAAGGCAAAGTTTTTCTCTTGCAATGAATAAAGTTTACTTGTGCTGAGAATCCCAACATCATGAGATTGACGCCCTGACAAACCCATCTTCTTGTTGTGGCCTGCAAGAATGAGAAGACTTCCTTCACTTCTCTAACTCAACCCAGGCTGAGTTAAAGAGGTAAAAGTGTAGCCTGGGCAACAAAATTGTATGCATGGGAGAAATGCCACACCAAGGTATGTGTAGAGATGAGACAGAACCCTTGCTGGCTGGACTTCAATGGGTTGTACTTCCTGAATGGTCTGGACATGTATATCCAATTCGTGCAACTTGGTTTGGATAATGTCATCTTCAGCAAGGATGACCACTTGAACTACTACGTCTGGTTTCTTCTCTGAGCCCAGGCGTCTGTTCAGAGGATCTAATTCTCCAGGTGATATAAATCCCTGGGGAAGAGAATACCAGATATGAGATATATAGGCTAAAAACATACATAATATACAAGGTCTATCCCAAAAGTAACCGAACTTCAGGTACAAATCAATTTCCCATGTGATATTTATAATTTTTATTATTGATCATTCAAAATACGTCCCTTCCGAAGAAATGCAGGCTTTGCAGCCATCATACAACTTTTGGAAACACCTCTGGTAGTCTTGCTCTGAGATGGCGGAAATAACCTTGGTCGAAGCCTTTTGGATGTCCAAAATCGTGTCGAAATGCTTTCCTTTCAGCTTCATTTTTAGTTTGGGGAAAAGGAAATAATCACAGGGTGCCAAATCAGGCGAATAGGGTGGGTGGTCAAGCACTACGACTCCTTATGAGGCCAAAAAGTTCTGCACAATGATGGACCTGTGAGACGGAGCATTGTCGTGGAAGAGAGACCAGCTGCCTGGTGCTTGGTATCAAGGACGGACCTGAGCAATTCTGGCCAGCAAACGCTTCATAACGGCGAGGTAGTATTCGCCATTTACCGTCTGGCCTTCTGGAACGAACTCCTTGTGGATAATCCCAGCTGAATCAAAGAAAGTGATTAGCATTGTTTTCACTTTTGACTTCTGCATGCACACTTTTTTTGG